TGTCAAAGAGAAATATGTTCCATTTTTGCAATGATTTTCATTGTGTAAAATCCCGTCCCTTTTCTTGTTCATTCATGTCTGTTTGCTTAGATTTTATTCATTTTTTCCCCAGTTCCACTTTCAAATCTTTCCTTCTTCCACACACTCTTTTCTGCCTGCTGTTTGTGGTAGAAGTTATAGCAAAGGTTCCTTCCTAATGGCTACCAATTTACTCTACCAGAATATCCCAGATGTTCTGCCTTTATAGGTCATCTTGTTATTAACACACACACACACACAAAAAGAGGCAGCCAACATTTGCTTCCCAGAATCTCCTGAAGCAGTGCAGTGTCTTGGCCAATGTGTGAAAACAAAATGGTGGCCTCAGGCTGCCAGCAAAATGTATGTAGGTGTTAAGTCCCCTCATCCCCAAAAAGATTGATGAATGGGTAACAAATAGGACAACAAAGTCAAAATCTATTTGTCTTATTGACTATTCTTGGCATTTGTTAAAAATAGATCTCTTTTGGTTGATTTTTTCCCACTTGTTCTGAAATGAATGAGTGACCCTATTATAGAGAGAGGTGGAAAACTAATGGCTACTGGTGATGTGATGCTGTTGATCTTATACTATCACCACCTAATAATTTCTGTTAAAGCAAAACAAAGCAAAGCAGCTTCATTTATATACCACTTCATACCACGCTATGCAGTGTCTAAGCAGTTTACAACTGTAAGCTCATTGCCCCCCAACAGGAAGGATGCAGGCCTGAGTCAAGCCTGAGCCCTGGCTAGTACTGAACTCGCAACCTTGTGGTTTATGAATGAGTGGCTGCAGTACAGGCATTTAACCACTGCACCACCAGGGCTCCTGTTATGTGCATTTAATCTGCTTCCTTAGACAGGTACAGCACACAAGACTCCTGCACTGATATCCTAGATCTCACTAGAAGAACATTTAGCTTTATAGGTATAGCTAGGCTCTTCTTCTCTTAGCTACCTTCCTTACTCCCCTGGTGACTACTAACTCTCTACATCTATTTGGTGACCAGGGGACAACAACAATCATCCATACAAAGATAAAGACATCTTCACAGACCTCCTGGGCATCTTCCAGGATGCTGATGCCTTGCTGCCCCCTGTTCTTTCCTCGAGTTGCACCATTCATGTTGTCAAAACAGAAGAAATGCAAATATATTGCCAAAACAAAGGACCAATGATTCTCCGTAACATTTTCAGATACTATTTTACACGTACAGATGCATATTTAGAAATTGGTACTTAACTTTATTTTATTTGTTTGTTTTTACTGTAATTTTCATAGAAATATAATAGATCTCGTTCTGATGTCCAGGTAATGCAAGTGCTGATGTGCAACGTCAAGGCCTCTCCTCTCCCTCCTCATTTAAAAAATAAAATTTAAAAACATCTTGTCTTTAAAGCAGGATAAGGTAAATGTTGTCTTTGAGCCAAACCCTAACGTTGCAGCTTCAACCCCTCCCCAAGTTTTTAAAATGCTGATTTGAAGGTGATTTTTCATCCCAAAACCAACTCAGATGTGGTAGCTCAGATCACTCATCTACCCCCAGAATCCCCCAGAACCTCCAAAGAGTCCAATATCACCTCAAGATGATGCAGTATTACTGTGTGTGCATCATAACATAACAGTAAAACCTAAGGGGGGGGGGGGTGTGGAGGCAAAATTACACACGCACACACACGCACATGTGTGCCATTCAACTGTTAATTCTTGTCAAGTCTGCTTTGGTTTGTTGCAACACTAATGAATGAGAGACATCCAAGATACTTTGTCATCAACAGCCCTCCTCAGATCCTGCAAACTCAGAGCTATGGTTTCCATTGTGGAATCTATCCACTTGCAATACAGCCTTCCTCTTTCGCTATTGCTTCCTACTTTATCAAGTATTATTGTCTTTTCTAATGAATCATCTTATCTCATGACATGCTTAAAGTATGACAGCCTCAGTTTCATCAATTTAGCTTCTAGGGAGAGTTCAGGCCTGATTTGCTCTAAGGCCCATTTCTTTGTCCTTTTGGCAGTCCATGGTCTCCTCCAGCATCATATTTCAAATGAGTTAATTTTCTTCCTGTTTTCTGCACTATCCAGCTTTCACGACTATACATAGAAATAGGAAATCTAATGGCATGGGCATTCCTGACTTTGTTATTGAATGATACTTGAGAGCCATTCAGTTGTCCACCTCAGTTTAAAGGATTTTTTCTGTAAAATAGGACACATGGCCATCCAGCCCTTTGTAGATACACCCCCTATGAAGATCCCTCCGGCTTTCTCTCTGAAAAAAATCCCCTTTTTTGTAGGCATTTAGTGTTTAAAGTTTTACATTTTGGGTTTTGTATTATATTTTAGATCTGGGTATGTATTATGTTTTAGCTAATATTATAGAGTGCTGCTTTCTAATGCTTTCCCTCTGTATTTTTCTATATTTTCAATATTTCTGTATTATGCACCTGCTGTGCTCTAGATATATTCAGAGTTATCTGTAGTGTATCACTGAATTTCTTTGCTTGCCTATTTTAAGAAATAAAACACAATATTATGGAGAAACTATAT